CCTCTCGCCGCATCCCGCCGAATTTGGCCCCAAACTCAGCCGCTAAAGCCCACATATATCGGTAGCTGGCGGCGTCCCCGCAGCAGCGCGCTCTCAGCTTGCCGTCTTGCCGTGCGGCAACTGCAGCCCTCCTCTTGCCGTGCAGTCCTTCTGAAATAGGATTCAGCAGTTGAGACCCTGAAATTCAGTCCCTGAAGTAGGTAGCACCTGCTTCCAGTCTGCCCGGGATAGCTGGTTGCCACTGTAAAAGCCCAGACCGAGCCCCTGCGTCCGTGTTATTTTTGGACCCTCCCGTTATGGTGTGACACTCTGCTCCATTCATGCTCAAAACGTTTGGATCCTGACACGCTCCTCCAAACCAGTGCAAACGGCCCGCGTCTGGCTCCTTAGCCTACAGACAGCTGGACACTGAGCCCCAAAATTGCACCTCTCACCAATTGCACAGATAGAAAACGAGTGAAGTTGCTGCTACTTTACCTGAAAAAAAGGGATCGTGCTACACCTCTGTGGAATAGCGCTGGAAACATACTGGCTACCTCTGCTCTGCTGAATTCCGGCTCTTTTTTTTTTTTTTCCTTATACTGCAAATTGTGCTGGCAGATACCGCTCTGATACTTCAGATTCGGTAGCAACTCCCAGTGCACCAAGGAAGCTCTCACAGTAGGGCTATAAAGATTTCCAACAAGTGGATCCTACTAGGTCCTGTCTTTTTTTCTCATTCCAGACAGTGAAATTTGGATAGTTACTCAGTAGCGGCAGCTTTATCTCTTCACTCTTTATCCAGTAGAATTCACTGATCAGAAATAAAATGCAATTTAGAGGTGGATTGTTAAGATGCACTTCAGGAGATAAAGCCGGTGCTTTTTTCTTCTTCTCTATCTCGATGCTGCTAGATCAGTCTGATTTTGTTTTCCTTGGCAATGCCGTAGTGGTTAAATGTGTCCTCTATTTAGACGGGGGGATATCAGGTGACAGGTGGCAAAATACCTCTGGCTCAACCAGTAACCAGTTGCAGGAGGTGAGGATTTTCTTGTTTCTTCTTAATGCAGAATAATTATGCTATGACACAACATAGTGCAATTGTTTTTTCTCCACTGGCTACATGCATTCTCTGAAGCTACAGAGACGCAGGCCACATTTAGCAGAGTACAAGTATTGCGTCTAGGGTTTTGTTTGTTTGGTAGTTTTTTTTTTTTTTAGTGCAGATGTACCAGAATGCACTGGGAATGGATTGTTTTGCTGCTCCAGAAACAGTGAAACCTATTCACTACTCTTACGATGACATTTAAGAAAGCATGGGCAAAAATGGGTCCAGATACTGGTTCTGAGTTATACAGGGTAATTGCAGTGCGATGTATGAAGACCCAAAATGTAATATTGCAGGGGAAACAGCTAATTTCTATTTCTGAATATAAGAATTTGAAGGCTTGGCTTTAAATTTTTTAGATCTGATAGAACCCAGGTGCCAAACCAAGCTTTTTAACATGCTTGTATGTTGGGATATGTTGAACTCCTGGTGATAATGATGGTTATAGAATTATAAGCAGCTACGTTTGTCTATTTTTGTACAGTTTGGAAAATGAGGTCAAATTAGCAAAACAACGATAAATATATATTTTGCTCTAACGCTCCCTAGCAGTCACCCCCAACCCCACAACATGGGTAGCAAAACATCTGCTGTGCTGTCTTTCAGAAGGCAGCAAATGCTTTGTTTCTTATAGTATCATCCCACATAGGTTATCAGGTTATCAATGGAACTAAACAGTAATAATCTTGCCGTCATACCCACTTATCCAGTAGCATCCACGTATATCTGCATATATCTTGTGTTAGAAGATTTCTGTGAAAAGGTTGAAATGCTTATTTACTTTGTTGTTCTTTCCCCCCCTATTGGAAAAAGTGCTTTCTAGAATACTAATTGGAAAGTGCCTGTCTAGTACATCTTCTCAGCCAATAACTTTAGATCAATGTCAAGCCTGAAATCAGGGTTAGAGGCCAGTGACAGAACAGAAATCATTACAAAACAAATTAGCCAAATCTCCAGTGTAAAAGCAAATGCTACATTCCAGTCCCTAAACGTGCTGTTAATCAGGAAGCAGGAGGAGCAAAGGCAATCATTTCTGGAGATATTTTTGTCTTTTATGATAGCAAAAAATAATCTCATGCTTCCAGGGAAACAGCTGGGATTTTTTTGTGTGCTTAATATTTAGGACTAATAACTCAAACACTTTTGGTGATTAAAAGAAGAAATACAGTCTTGCAAATGAACACGTATACAAAATAGGCAGCTGGCATGAACGCCCTAGTCCTTCGCTAGATCCTAGGCGCTTGATCCTGTATGCCATGAAATCAGGAGGAGCAGGAACAAGCCCCAGATTGGGCATGGTTTTCTAAAACTTGAATGTTTTTATCAATATAGCTAAATGTCTCATATTAGTACATCATCTCTGTTTTTTAGCTTGTCCAGGAGTTCAATACCCAGGTGGCTCTGTACCGGGAGCTGGTCATTTCCATTGGGGATGTCTCAGTCACCTGTCCATCTCTACATGCTGAAATGCACAAGACTCGAACCCGAGGATGTGAGATGGCCTGTCAGGCTCATCAAAAACTAGCAGCAATTTCTGGGTAGGAGTCTCCTTATGTTTAATTAAAACTGTATTCTTGTGCCATCTTTGCTAAATATTACAGTGAGGCGGCTTTGGGCAAAAGCATTAACCTATCGTGTTTCTATTTTAGAGAGATGTATGACCACAAATTCTACAGACTATTCATATCGTTACAATAAAGTAATTTGGAATCAAATCCTGTTCCCCTTACCAGGATGGCATCTTACTGATTTCACTGGATGCTTTTATGTAAGGTGAACAGGATTTTTCTCTGTACCACTAGGCATCTTAAAAAGATCAAGGGAAAAGTCTTGCACTTCAAGGGCAAAAGAGCAATGGATTTCTGTTGAATCCTGCAGTTTTAGACACGATGACCTTCCATTGGGTGTATCACCTAATTGAACAGAGACAACTAATTCAGCACAAACAGAGACTTAGCAAAATTTGAGGAAAAAATACTTAATTGATTGAGAGTTACATAGAGGGGAATACAAAGATGTACTGTGAAAACAACTTTAAATTCTACATGTTGTAAAATCTTTAGTTGTGTTGACATGAGGCTCAAAGCCTTCCCAACATATCATTTTTCAATTTATTCTCCAGTGAACCTACATTACCGTATTACATTACATACTCTTCTTTTCATGGTGACAGAATGTATCATCACATACTTAAGACTGTGTCTCAGTACAAGAAAAATGAGGATATCTTACAAAAAGTGAATTCATGTTGCCTATACAAAGTCTACTTATTATTGGGTTCTTCACAGGATGGTGATTGGGGCATTTGTATCAACACAAACCTGTACCTTCTGAGTGTTTTTTCTCTGACTGAGTTCATCAGAGCTTTTGGAGCCTGCCTTGTCCAACGTAGTTTTCTTCCAGAGGTGCACAAATGGTTTGTTTTTGGCAGCTCTGCCAAATCCGCCTTGCAGTTCTTTTATCAGTTTACTTTATGGGAAATCTGTAGGAATATAAGGGAAGACCACACTAACCAACTAAACAGAAAAAAAAAACACTGGTTGTATTTTTGGTAAAACTGTCAACTTTTTCAGATACAATTTTGTGCAAAGTCTATTATGTTGATATTACAACCTCTGCTTTGTTCCTCAAACAAAACATATGCATTTAAAATTCTAAAGTCTGTGAGAATTAAAAAAAATCAAAAGATTTTTAACCAGTGTATGCTACCTTAACACTGTAGCACTGAATATAAGCAAATAGACAGATTTAAAAGAAGTGAAATTGATCCTATGCATTTTCAGAGTCAAAAAGAAAATAATACATAAAATAGCAGAACCAAACTTCAAATTTTTTTTTTTTTTCAGAAAGGAAACCATAGATATGTGCTCATTTAGAAATACAGAGGTTTTTTTTAAGTAATCATTTCACAGTTGGGAGTCTGTCATATACACAAAGATGTCCTGAAGGTTGTGCAGTTGCTATGAGATTGACATTTAGCTAATCTAGAACTGTTTTAAGTAACCGTGATAATAATGTGATATCCATAACAACTGGTAGGTGTTAGAAACCCTCTGGAAATGGGTTGTTTAGTTTGACAGACGTTTTTCAAGATGTGCTTCACATGCCCACCCTGCTACAGCTGAGGGAAGCTGGATGATCCAACTTAACTTGTTCGGTATCTCTGCGACGAAAGATAGGAGATGAAGGTGCAGCAAGGATTCAGTGTAGAAAACAAACGGAAGGAGAGGAGTAACAAATTTGGAAGTTCAATCTTTAATTCCGCTGGAAGAGTGATGTAATGCATAGGATATGCATAGGATATGGCATAGGATCTGGAATGGGAACATACAGACATAAGAGTCAGCATATATAACATAACAAAGACCCATTTAGCTCTCTGCTTTAGTTCAAAATGAGCAGCATTGCGCTGTGTGAGCTTCTGGATAACGCAACCAATTCCATCTCCCTTCTTCAAAAGCTTCTTAAAAGACAGTGATCTCTGCCTATTGCTTTCCCAGCCAGAGATGATAATAACAATTAGCTAACTATGTTACTAGACTATAAAATTTCATTACATATCATCATTCTATTAGTTAAGCTCATTAGTAATGTTTGGTTAGTCTCTAAGTGACCTGAGCTATTGCAGTGACATTTGAGTTTCTTTCAAGAAATCGACATCACTGTATCAGACAACACTGAGTCTATTAATCTTGTTTGCGCTGATGTCCTCCTTGGAAAATTAGCAGGCAGCTTCCTTTTATGCTTCTTGTTTGAATACATGAGGATTTGAGCGTCTTGCACTACTGAGTCAGGCGGCTAGAAAAGACACCGATTTCCCGTCATAACTCAGCGGTTCTACCAGAGTAGGGAAGGTAACAAAGAGGAAAGGTGCAAAGACTCAGGCAAAAAGAAACAAGAACAGATTCACTGGCTTTGGCAAAGGCAATTCTGGAAGAAAATTTGGGAATTGTGAGAAGAGAAACAGAGATGCTGAGATAGAGATAATGCATTAGGAACCAAACGGGATAGAAGTCATGAGGAGAAAACTGATCATAGGAACATCAGTTTTTGGAATATTAAATGGACATGAGAGTGGGACAGTGGTGTAATGTGAACAAGAACAGAAGGCTCCACTTGTAGCTACAGAAAAAATATACACTGATAAGCCTTCCAAAGGCAATCCAGCTAGGGAAATAGAGGGAGTGAGAACCACCTTAGCTTTTAAAAACTTATCAGAAAAAGAAGAGCAAAGGAGATAATAACAAAGATAAAGAAGTAGCAAGGAAAAATAAAACCTTAAGAAGTCTGCCCTGGATTAGACCATATGACTCCATCTAGTCAGAGTCTTGACAGGAGCCAGTAGCAGAGATTTAGTGGAAAAGTGTATAAAAAACAGGCTGTGCATAAAGTGATGCCTTCCCTAGTATGCCTGCCACTTCCCGGCAATCAGTAGTTTAAGGGTTTTCTGAGGCAAAGGCTGCATATGAACAATTTGTGTGTGACAGACCTGAACTCTCGTAAAAGATTTCAGGATTTGTCTGAGTATTAAGGTCTTTACTTAGAAAACGCTGAGGAGGAATAATGACATCTTTATACTGTGGTGTGTTTAAATCTTTACAATTCAATTTGAAAAATAGATTTAGTTGATCGAAAAGGAAAACTTCAAATTCTATCCCTGACTTAATAGGTCTTCATCGCTATTAGACCCTCTTCTTAACTTGCTGTGTTATGTTTTTTTCTTGTAGAGACACATGAAATTTTATCAAAGAGCAGATGCAGGCTTGAGTTCTTTTCTCAGACCAACTCTATTTTGGCTTGTAAGGAATAAAGATTAGAAATAAAAATATTTTAAATTGAAATATTCTAGTTCTAGCTGATGATCTTTTAGCAATGTCAGTCAAAGAAATCTCTGCTTTCACAGTTGGTATTTCAGGAGCTCAGGTCAATTCCTGCTCACCGTAGTCATCCAAAAAATCCTTAATGATTTAATGAGACTGTCTTCCGAGTAAACTGAGCAAGGTTTGGTCCTTCCATTACATTTTCTACTGTATGAATATACCAGAAATTAAATATCCCAATGGAATTATGCTATGCACCCTTGTAGATGTTATGGTCAAACCTGGAGAGACTAAAGCAACAAGAATATGAGTCAGCGTGGTTTTTTTCCAAAGGAAAACTAAAAGAAAGGAAAAACACTTGGAACAAGATGAAGAAGAAAAAAAAGTGTAAATTTTTTTTGTAAATCGGTCTGCTTTATGAGATGGTAAAGACTCTCAAATAGAGGGTCAGCTTTACAGAAGTGCGCTATTTTGACGCTGTAAACAGAAAGAAAACTTAAAACTGTATTTTAAGATAGAGGTCTGCACAACTGTGTATACACTTTGTCCCTTTCGTATTCTCAAGCACTTGGTATGTATACATAATGTAAGTACTTTTGCAGGTTCTTGGCATGCTGAAACCAGAACTGGCCACGTGTCTGTTATAGTGTGATGTATATGTAGACAGAAGAGCGCAGGGGTGCAGGGCTTTGAACGTCTCTGTGAACCTACCTTTGAAACAGGCTGTCCTCTGTTGTTCAGAGTGGTGTTGCAAGGTCCTGCACCTGGGGAGGAATAACCCCATGCACCAGTAGAGGCTGGGGACCAACTGACTGGGAATCAGCTTGACAGAAAAGGACCTGGGGGTCTTGGTGGCCACCAAGTTGAACGTGAGCTAGCAATGTGCCCTCGCAGCAAAGATGACCAAAACCACCCTAGAATTAGGAAGTGTCACCAGCACATCAAGGAAGGTGATCCTTCCTGCCTGCTCAGCCGTGGTGAGGCCACATCTGGAGTGCTGTGTCCCATTCAGGGCTCCCCAATAGACATGGACGTGCTGGAGTGGGTCCAGGAAAAGGCCACTAAGATTATTAGAGGCTTGGAACATCTATCATTTTAGGAGAGGCTGAAAGAGCTGGGACTGTTTAGCCTGGAGAAGAGAAGGCTCAGGGAGGATCTTATTGATGTTTAAAAATATCTGAATGGGAGGTTGTGAGGAAGACGGAGCCAGACTCTTCTCAGTGACAGGACAAGAGGCAATGGGCACAAATTGAAAGACAGGAAATACCATTTAAACATAAAAAAGCAAATTTACTGTGAGGGTGGTTGAAAACTGGAACTGGTTGCCTGGAAAGGTTGTGGAACGTCCATCCTTGGAGATGTCTAAAACTTGACTGGGCATGGTTCTTAGTAACCTGCTATAGTTGATGCCTTCCAACCTGTGACAATAGTCACCATTAATTTTCTTATCAGGAAATTTCCAAGATGAAGTTTCCTTATTTTGCACTGGGGTGCATCTTTCATAAGACAATTGTTACATGTAACTTCCCCTTAGTTCAAGAACAGTTAGGGAAGTAGACCTAAAATCACATCCTGACTGCATTCCAGTTTTTGTTGTAGTACATAGAAACACTGCCAGAGTGTTGCTTTAACTATGCACTTATAGTTCACTTCTACTGTTCTTTTTTCTTCTGCAACCTATATTAGATTTCTGATGTTTTCATTAAGCAATAGAGGGT